AGAGGGATTAGAAGACCTTTCATTTTTACTGCTGTCTGTGCCCCTGTTTAGCATTACTGAAAGTGAAATAAAAAGAAAATTCCAAATTTTGGGTTGCTCCCCAGAATAGAGGGGAAATCTTTGAATTTGGACACTTGTACTGGTGACCTCGGGGGTCCCAAGGATTTCCCTTATTTGCATGGATTTCTTCTCACTTCCGCTTTGGCTATGGGATAGGAATTGAAGGGAAATCTCTGCAATGGGACACAGATGGCGAAAAAAAAAAATGACAGGGGTTATAACCCTCCCTTACTCTATTCAAAATGGGGAAAAAAAAAAAAAAAAAAAAAAAAAAAAAAAAAAAAAAAAAAGGGTTTGGTCTGTAGTTCTTTAAAATTACAATGGAGTGATTTCCAGGTCCAGAACAGTAGCACTGCTTTTGGTGCAATTCTGATTTGGCCATGTGGGCCGAGCACAGGAGGCAATTTTGTTAGAACCATTAGGTGTAATTATTATCCCTGATTTTCTATTGTTTTACATGGAATGTGTTCTAATGAGCAGGTAAAGAATGCTGTGTCACTAGGTTGAGTGTCACACACACACACACACACACACACACACACACACACACACACCACTTATTTTCCTACCAGTCAGCATGAAGTAGCATCTTCCTGCCACTGCTCCTTATTGCAAGAGACACATGGTTTCACCTCAGTTAGTACTTGCTGCCAACTACAATGACTTGGTCACCTTTGGCCACGCAAACCTCTCCTGCTTCCAACAGCTGCTTTGTCAGTACCCAAAGGTTTACCTTGTATTTTAGCCAAGTTGTCTCTGCTTGAGGTGCAACATGTCTGACCCAAACACATATGGAGCAGTCCTACTGCATCAAGCCCCCCCAGTTCAAGATCCTACAGCTTCAGTGTGACCTGGCACAGAAACCTGGAATGCTATGCCCTTCTTGAGTTCTTGAGCGCCTACTTGCTTGAAGCCTCCCTTACCTCCATCAGATGTGGCCAGTCATAAATTGAGAGCAGGTGACTAGCTATCAGGGAACATTGTGGCTGGCTGCACTGGTATGGTAATACACTACTGGGGTGGCTAGTAGTCAGGGACACTGGCTGCACTGTCATACAGTGTCTGCAGAGCAGCCAGCCATTGTCCCTGATCACTAGCCACACCAGTACCGTGTCACCTTACAACTGCAGCCAGTCACAGTGTCCCCGATTGCTGCCACACACAGCAGCGTATTTACTGGAAGGCAAACATTGCATTTGCCTAGGGCAGCAATTTTCAGGGGGGCGGTTGCTAGTGGTGTGGGGAACTGGTCAATTTCGTTTTTGCCAAATCTCCCTGAAAGCTTCAGTATAACCCAATTATCTCTCAATCCTGTATCCCTCAATGAATTTGAAGAAAAGGATTTCATGGTGAGCACAAACATGAAATTATCTGGTGGGAACCATTACTATGCAACACACACACATCATACTATTTCCCACTATTCTTATGTGGGATTTCATTTAAAAGCCTGTTAATACTATACTTTTCTGGAGAATGCCTAAAACATGCTTTACACTATTAAGAGTTAATTTTATGGATGAGAAAAGAGTAGGCAAAACTGTCATTTAAAAGTAATGGCTCTAGTATCAGTAAGTTAACCAAAAAATTATATAACAAAAAAAAAAAAAAAAAAAAAAAAAAAAAAAAAAAACTGTCAAAAAAAATTTAAAGGACACAATATGGTGTGTAAAAAAGCTACCCTTAGATTATAGCTGGTGTGTTGTTATGGACAACATAAGGGAAACTATCATATAGCAAGACATCCCTACTTGACAGTTGCTCCACGGGAATTAATTGAATTTTCTCCACACAAAGTCAGGGAAAGGTTTGTGGGAAAGTTTGCGGCAGTGGCTATTACTATTCAAGGACAGCACAGCATGGATCTCACAATAGTCTGAAAAAGCGGGTATAAAACTTTGGAGGGAAAGGGGGGAAACATATAGAACAGTTACATAAATCATAGTTTTCTTTTACTGACAGTGCAGTCATAAGCGCAGACAGCCTACAAGTCAGGTGACATCCATCAGTGGCTTCTTATGTTGGTTATTTTTGTTCATGGCACATTTCCGTTAGGACCTCAAGGCTTGAACAATGTATACCATACTGTAGTGATGAAGATAAGTGTTGTGAACACGCAAGTTACATTGATAATACTTTAATGAAATACATAGCCCAGAAGGCAAATAAATATTTAAAAAATCATCAACATTAAACTTAACACTTACGTGAAATCTGCAATTATTAAAAAAATAAAATAAAATACAAATTCTAACAACTTGTAAAGCTATTGATGTGTTACAGAAGGAAAAGGGGCGTGAATCTATATAACCCAATTTTGTCCTAAAGACACTGGTGGCCAAGATTACCCCCTTGGAATATCTGTAGTCTAACGGTAGCATAAGTGACTTGGAACAGATTTTGTCTGCAGCACTTGATGCATACGCGACTGCCAAACATTTTGGATCTTATGACTACAATGTTATGTAATCAGTGCATGTACAAGATGCTGACAGCCAGTAGATGGCACCGCTGTTATACGATTTTGAATCTGGTAAATGTCAATAGCTCACATCAGGCTAGTTAATGCTTTGGCAACATACTGCAACATATTACATAAAAATGATCTATTTGCCTCTGTCTATAGCTAGCCATATGCACTTAACTTTAGTAATAAAAAAAAAAAAAAAAATTTCAAAAGTCATTGGAGACACTGTTCAGCCTAAACATGCATTTGCTGATTTTTAATTGGAGCCAAATTATAACCATCATAATAGTGACTATAATAGTTTTCAAAGTGGAAGTAACGCTTGGTGGAGACAGCGAGCAGTTGCCATAATGTGAATGCATGCAGAGCATAATTGCACATATGACACCTCTGGGTCTGCTCTTCTCCAGCAATGTGAGGCGCAAGCACCCCACATCCACTCTGTCCCCACCATTGCCATGTTATTTTCCTCTTCTGTTTTTTGCTTGGGCAGGCACCGAGGATGTTTCTACCACGCATGCATACTCGGGCTACAGTATCTTGGTACCTACACTTTGCTAAGCATGCACAACAGTCAGTGTACGGATTTTAAAAATGCTAGCATCTAATTAAGAAGTTTTTGACACAAACTTATAAAATGCTTTTCTACCAAAAGACCCTATCTGATGGCAATACTTTTTTTGTAAGCTGTAAAACGCTGAATGAAAAATTGATCAATATGCCACATTTTTCAAGCCAATCAAGATCAAATAACTTCCAACAAGGCTGGTTGCTTTCTTTTCAGTTTTACCTCAAGACAATTAAAAATGGTCACTATGTTCAGACAATAAAATAATCAGACTGGGCACTTCCATCAGTCTGCCTGCCTATCTATGCTGCTGAAGACACTTAAAAAACAGCCATAACCTTTATAAATACATAATATAATAAGGTACTGTAGCTGTAAATATTCATGCACAAAAAACATCAAAGTCTATCAAACAGAAAGAACATTAAAAATGATTTAATATAGTTCCTCATTGTGGAGCTCTAGTTTTCTTTCACCCAAGTGGAGTACACCAAGCTTCTTCATTCGTTGTTCTGGGTGGATGTCATATGAAGTTCTTCTAAAATGTGCCTCACATGCAGCTGCAATCTGTCACTCACTGTGTCCATCGGTTGGTCCAGCAGAGGCATCCTCCATACTTTACTCAATACTGGTTTTCTATAATAATGGCATTTTACTAAGCCTTATCTATAAGGGAGCCATCATTAACTTACTCAAAAATTGGAATGGACCGGCACTGAAAATGACATGAGACTTGTGCCCAAGCCTAAAAGCCAACAGGACCCCAGAATTTTTCTTCTAAATTTGACCTACAGGTGAATGTCCACAACTGTTTCCTTCTCTGCACAGAAAATTGAACAAAAGGTTGGTGGTGGGAAAGACTGTTGGAAAATCAGATGCTAGCGAACCAATTGCATCTGGAATTCATAGGTAAAAATCTCCATACCTTATGTGGCCCAAATAATGCAAGTGATGCTAAAAAACCATTTGCATGGCTTGTTTTTTTCCCAGCCATAATTGGCAAGACTATTGTAGCAAGGTTTCATCACGTGAACAATTAGTAATTTCGCTGACTTTGTGTACTGAAAAATACATAAACATATCAAACATTTGATATATGTAACAAAATCACTGAAGAATTCTGGTTTAGCTCCAAACAGTTGTTGTGTTATCTCAACTTGTTTACTGCTACTGTAAATGGAGGACAAATTCCTGTCCTTAAATGACTGGTGAAAATAAATAAATAAATGAAATTTATAAATACAAAAGGACTTCCACTAGAATGGCTTCCCTGGAGCACCAGAAAATCCTGTCTACTGCCTATCCTAATGAGAAGTGACTGCCTCCTGCAGCTACGCCTTTCACCCAGCCTACAGAGCAAAGGCGCAATGTTCAGTCAGCTGTCTGGGTCATGCCAGACACATGCCTCCTATCACAAAACGCAAAGTGGAACTTCAATGCCAAGAGCGGTTTTAGAAGTGCACTGTCAAGAGGAAACTATCCTTTACCCTTTCAACTGTCTGAAACCAAATCACAGCTGAACACAATGGAAGGACGAATGCAAAAAAACATATCTTACGATCTACAAATCAGGTGAGGACTTCATGTCATACTTGTGACACAATTACTTTTTACAAAAAAAATTATGCATACACCCAACAGCATCAGTAGATTGAAATTCACATTGATGGGACTAAAGTAATTAAAATGGGGCATGAAAAGTGAAAGCGTTATCAAAGCAAACAGATTTCAGCTTTTATTTTCCCTAGACAGTTACCTATTAAAAGTGGACTCCAAACTGGTTATTCATTGAGTGAAATTGGTGGTGAAGATTTAAACAACTTTACATTTTGTTCTATTTTTAAATATTTTTTTTAATGTTTCTCATCTACTAATACTGTACACCATCAAATAGAGAGAACTCACCGGCTGTAGGGCTTCTTCCTGTCTTCTACTTTGGCTTTGTCTGTTAATGATGGACCACGTAGACAGTTTATAATGATTCAAAAGGCAGACAATTACAACCACCATTACAGTTATGACCACGATTATGATAATGATCTGGACAAACTCCAATTCAGCTGAAAAAAAACAAAAAACAAAACAGTTTTACTAAATTTTGTCATTAAAAGTCACAGGGAAGTGTACGTATAGCCAAACCTACAGAAGGACTAAACCGTTTAATTATGGTCATTTGTTTTCCATTTGAAGTCTCCCCTTATCTTTTTGGCCCGGGATGCAACAAGTGTGAGGAAATCCCATCTTGGAAAGCTTTCACTGAACAGGTGTCCCTACATTCTGAAAACTTCACCCCCTCTTGTTCCAATGATATTTTAAATTTCCCATCACTGTATTTCCCATTGACAATGGTCACGGAAATGGTGGCGTCTCCCCAGAGGGGATATAGAAGGCAAAGAAAACCTAACAGGAGTTCTAATCCTCTTCTACACTACCCCAGTTTTATATGTTTACTTTGAACTTATCAAGATCTTGTGCATTCTCTATACACTAAAGGCTTCCAAACAGTGTAAACTTTGGCAAGCTTTACATTTTTGTTCCACAAAGAGACTTTATTGAAATTAGATAAATACAAAAGAAAAGACCCAGAGGGTCATACCCATCATCACAAGTGTAAAGAAAAGCCAGGTAAGTTTTTAAGAAATACCATACATTATATCTTGTAATTAATGTGTAAGAGTTGCATATATAAGGTGACAGGTATATACACAAAGAACCATGATAAGAACTAAGATATGGGGTATCATGCAATAAGCCAGGGTCCTGATGCAGTTGGGGCTTGATAATCTAAAGTTTGAAGTATTCAGGGGAAATGAACTGCAGCGGGAGGCAGTCAGGTATGATACATATAGGAAATAGGGACAGATAGTCTGGTCGTCAAACTTCACTAGGGGGGGTCTGACCAGTGGAGAAAATCTCAGGGAGAGAGCAGAAAAGAAGACCTGGGGTAAGGATTGGGGAGAGGAGGGGAAGGTTTAGGTAAGGTAAGGTGGGGGGGAGGGCTAGGATAGGAAAATCTAGTAGGGTGGAACAATGGGGGGTGTCCCTCTCACATGGAGATGCCTTGCCACCCCTCTTGAGGAGGGAGCAATAGATGCTCTACCCAGATAACACATTACTGACCTGAAACAAGCAACCAATACTGAAGTTCAGATTTATAGACTTTGCTGACTGCACGCTAGTTTTGTGTGCATTACTTGGTAGAGGAGCCAGGATCACAGACCCAGAGCCTAAACCTTTGACAATCAGGTCAGCCCCTACATTTCTATCTCCATACAAAGACAAAGTGGTCTAAACAAAAATGTTTGCAAGCAGGTTTTGATCAAACACACTTCAGGCTGTGCCAAGAGCAAACTCCAGCAGCATGGATGTTTTCAAAATAAGACATATTTAAGAAATCAGAAAGATCTTAAATACAGCTATATACTAGTGATGGTATGTAGGTACAGTGCTTTGAAGATAAATTCCTGAATGTAAAGAATGTCCACATTACCCCTCAAGTTCCACTGGCTTGCCAAGCACTCCTCAGCGACTATAAAGGAGCTTCTGAATTGCCAGTTTTTCTGCTCCCTAAGGCTTATTACTTAAATGGCAATGCTATGAAGGATTCAGGGAGGATTCAGGGACCAATCCCATTCTGTAACCGCTTCTCTGCTGTGATAAGATGACAGATACACTCTGCAAAAAGCACACATTTAATGTATACCTTTCCACTACAAAAACATTAGTAAAGCAGCAGCATTGGCAGGAAACTGCAGGTACCTACAAGTTAACTTTTAATGCCCTCCTTATGGCACAAAGCAGAATTAAATCCACCAATTAAATATTTAAAAAAAAAAAAAAAGTTACATTCAAAGCATGCCATGTATTAAAAAACTGCAAGGCCTCATGCACACAAGTTGCCAGAGGAGGGCCATGTTTACCTGCACAGGGATGCACCCCATGCAGGCAGTTCCATTGACGTCAATTGGCCAGGCAATATACCCAACACGCACGTTCCTGAATATGGCTAAAAAGAGTAAGTGGATGCTGAAGCAACCACCAGCTGGATGAAGGGTCCTGCATGGCTCAGAAACGTCGCTGTATTCTGCTGTGATGTGATCATTCAATAAACTGTTGGGACACTTATGGAGTTCTCTGGTGTGCTGGTGACATCTCTTGTATTGATGTAAATTGGAAAGCAGTGGCTGCACGTACATACTGTGCAAGTACAGGGACATGCACCTGCACCCACATGGATGTCACATTGGGAAAAAATTGCAGTTAAAGTGTTCCTAAACCAAGGACCCTGCATTCACTATCTAATCTTCCACAGTACACACAACATGGAAATGCAATTAATTTAATATAAACTGATATATATATATATATATATATATATATATATATATATATATATATATTTTTTTTTTTTTTTTCTCATCAGCAGTTACAGCAGTCTTGTGAATTCTACAAGCTTTAACCAGTGCTCTGCTGAACACTGATAGATTTCTCTAGGAGGATGTTGAACCCCTGACCTCCATTTGGGCAGCGCTGCTTGGCCCTGTGCTGATCACTTGCCTCTCCCAAGAGATGAAAAAAAAAAAAAAAACCTCTCTAGCAATGCACACCACACTGAGTATGTGCAGTGTCGTCACGATAGGTCTTATCAGGAGATAAGAGGGAGACACTGGAAGAAAGGGAGAGTCAGAGAAGTCAATATGAAGCATCCCTTTTACACAACGCAAAGGATTTACCCCTTAGGTTCTACAGTGAGTATAACAAGCATGCTTTACTACATATACAGACTGATTTTACTGTTGTGGGTTTAGTAACACTTTAAATATGGCCCTCCACAGTATACGCTTTAGTACACCCTGTTGTGAACAAGGTCTCAATTGCTATTGTGCTCATTTCAGCTCTCAACTGAACTGTCAAGCCATCAAATGGCTCGAGTCATAGCTGATCACATGTACAGCACTGTGGCAAATGTAGATCAGAGGCTAAAGTTGGCAAAAGATGGATTGAAATACCCTGCTAAACCAGCCAAAGTTCAATGTGTGGCTGTCCCTGTTTGAAAGAAGTCTATTCAGATAGACTTCTGTTAGTTGAACAAGCTGGAAAACTTTAGTGTATTCAACGCCAAGTCCAGCTGGAGGATTTTTTTTTTTTTTAGCCTGCTGGCTGAATGAGAAAACCAAATCTATGGCCAGCCTAAGATGACAGCTTCCTTTACTGTTAAGGACTGGAGGGTTTAGCTCCACTTTATACACTGCAGTGCCTCAGGATTTCTTTGTCCTTAAAGACCAAGTCTAATATCAGCGGTGAGAGCTAGTACATCTGTTTCTGCCCGCACCCAACTGTTGACTCCTGAGCACATCATCACATGTAAGAAGTCTGTGTGGGCATCTAAGGCTACCCATTTTGCATTAAAGGTTGCAAGTTTATAATTGTTTTTCAGTGAAAGGATTTACATTAAATACAACTTAAGTGAAAAAGACGTAGCAAACACCCAGTTATCTTTTTTTTGTATAGGAAATTAACGAAAGCTGAATAAATGTTGAGATCAAGGCATTTTACCTTATAAACACAACCTTTCAGACACCAAGCATAAATATGATTACTTTATAGACTAGGTGAACACCTGTGCATCTGCATGTGCTTTTCAAAATGCATTTTAGTGCATTTCTCAGGTGTTTTTGGTGTAAACAGGTCCCAGAGACAATAATGGGTTTCTTTTTGTTGTGCCCAGTTATTCAACAGCTGAAGCGTGACAAATCACACAGGTGTAAACAGGACTCAAGGAATAAACTATACTTTATGACTACTTGCCTGTTAGATCATGAAAACGGAGTCCTGGCACCTGCCCTAAGCGTATCACACAAAAGGTATTAAACAGTATTCAAAACCAGAGATTTATAATTGCCCAAAAAAACCCTCATCTATAATGGGCAACATGATCCATTTAAAAATAAGTGATTAATCCTTTAAGAAAACAAATATTTAATTTTGAGATAAAGCAGCCCCCCTCCCTCCATTTAATCAACCACTGGTAGGTCTTTTCACAGCCTAGATCAATGATAAACCAATAAAACACAGCTGACTTTGAACATAGTTCCCATTTTCGCTGCTTTAGGTCTGGTAAATGACAACTAACTTTTATTCGCCTGATCAGGAAAAATGTATCTTATGATTCACCAGCACACACCCTGCAAGAAGAAATATTAAGACCTAGAACAGCAAATTCATCAGTGAATACAGATGAAGTGGCCCAAAGCATGACTGAGACTGAATCAATGACAAGCAGAATGAAGAAAGCCAGTGTCCATAATACCAGAAAAAGCTCTGCAAACAAAAAGCCGACCAAAAAACACCACCAGGAAGTTTCTGCTTCACAGAGCAATCAAAGTCTGGGTTTATACACATTTCTCTGAGCACTACTTGACTAGAAAGAGACTCGCTATGAAGAAATACTACAATATACTGCCAGATCCTATTAGGAAATTATAGCAAACAAGAGAGCAAAGCAGGTCACCCAGTCTAGATGAGGACAAATGAATTAACCTATGAAAGAAGGAAATCAGGACATAACAAGCTTCATATTCTGTATACTCTGAAATATATATTTCTTTTTCTCAATGCCCAACTAGATTACCAGTAGAGACATGATTTACAGGACCAGTAATCTATATAGATAAAATGAGCTAGTAAGATCATTCTAATATACCATTGTACCTGTAAGTTTTCAATCAGCAATTACCTGGGAGATAGGACACTACAGTACTATGAACCTTACGTAGTCGATTCTTGCATGTCAGAGGCTTAGATGGCTGTATTTGGTCAATTTAAACATCACCTGTGTGAATCGTGTGGGCATTGATTTATATACATTCTTATAATAGTGTGGTAAGCACTGGCAACTACTGTAATCTCACTTGTCACAGATTTTGTGAAGAAAAGGGGAAGTACTAACTGGGCTTATGACATGTTCAAGGTTGCCCATATCAAAACAGAAGACTGCCATGCTTCTCATTGACTTTAAAGAGGTCTCTGCACCCCTTATTCCCACCTACCCACTGCTGTTCATGGCTTC